TTTCTTTTCAAATCATATAAGTAAAGAGGTTGCATCTCTTTATGCTGAGGAAAGAAATAATCGGTTTACATTACATTAGAAAACAGTTTTTTAAACCATATGACTTTATGATACAAAATATAAAGACTTTTATTTAAGACAGAAGGCTCTATTTGGAGTTATGAGCAACATAATGCACTTTCTTCACAGGTAAGTGGCTATATAAAATAAGTATGTAATCAACTGGGTGGAATACAATAACAAATCAGAACTGGCACAAGTTATAAATACATAAACTAAAAAATACAACTGTCTTCCTTAAACTACTGGAAATGTGTTTCATTATCATTTTTTACAATTACACTGCATTTATAAAAAAAACAAAACTAGACTCCACTTTCTTCTAATATTACAATACAATCTTGGTCCAGAGGCTCCAGAGTGCTTTAAAATCTTGAGCATCAATTGTACTAACATTCTGAGTTTTGGTTCAATAGTCATCTTTTCATCACTTCAAACATTTCCCCAAAATCAAAAAACAAGTAGCTTAGCATCAGCTAGTCCAAGTAACCCCAACTATAACTTCATAAAAGAGGTTTAGCTTCTATTCTATTCCTCCTTCCAAAGAATCCTTACCAGTATCCCTAAAAGAAAATTAAAATTTCTGTACTTCCATCAGTCTGATTCCCATCCATCAAACAATCAAAAAATAAAATACAATAAAAATTATACATATTTGTACACATATCACACATTTATCTTAGCACCAATAGGTTACAGGAATGACTATTCTATGACATGTGGTAAAGGTGGTTGAGGAGCTGCATTTATGACTTGTGACAGAGAAGGACAAGCTCCCTGGATGCCGCAATTGACAACACCTTCCCTCTTGTGCTCTGCTTCAGGGATACCAGTGAAGGGCGCACAAAATTCTTAAAGGTATTTTGTGTTCTTATCCTTGGCTCTTCAAAGGCTGTGACTTCTTCCTTTGGGGGGGATGGCTCACTTTCTGCTTCTCCCCCTCCCCAGGAGAACACTCTGCCATCTGGAAGAGTGGATGAGAGAAATATAATGGATATGGGATTGATAGGTGAGATAAATTTGAAGTTAAATGAAACATGAGAGGGGAGAAAAGAAACAGTTGCATTATCTGTGCCTATTATCAAAATATTCTTACTTTTGTAAAAAATCATCATAAGAAAGAAAAAAATTATTGACATAAGCGGCAGAAGCAGAGACAGATGCACACAGATACAGATAGAGACAGTGACACATAAGGAGAGACTGACACAAACAGAGGCAGACAGAGACAAAGACAGTGACAGACAAAAACAGACAAAGAAATATCATATGTACATACCTTCTGTGACAGCGAGCGAGAGGTCCCTGGCACAGGCAACCTTAACAACCTGTGAGCGAGACAGTGGCTCCATCACACGTCGAGGTACACGTGGGTTGTGGGCTCCTTCATGTCCCAGCTGCCCTCCTGCATTGGATCCTGAAGTGAACACCTCACCTGATTCTGCATGGATGAAGGTGAAGGAAGTGGTAAGGTTTGGTAAAGGGAGGAGAAATATGGTACATGGATGGAATCTGGGAGGGATTAGGAAGAAAAATGAGAGAATACAATTACATAGCACTGTACGTATATATAAATAAATAAATATATATATATATATATATATATAATATATATATATATATATATATATATATATATATATATATATATATATATTATATATATATATATATACATACACACACACACACACACACACATATATATAAATATAGACAAATATATAGATATAGATATAGATATAAGACACACACACACACACACACACACACACACACACACACACACACACACACACACACACACACACACACACACACACACACACACACACCACACACACACACACACACACACAATTTCTGATTTAATGAGCCTCCTCCCCTGTCACCTGTAACAAAGAGGGAGTGGTGTTTCCCCGCAGCGACTTGGGCAAGAGCAGCATTGGCAAGAGGCTTCGAGCACACAGCCACAAACGTCGCCACATCCTCCACCTGCTTCAGGGTCTCACAGCCTGCCAGGTCTGTCTCATCCACACATAGCTTATTGCTTCTGTTAAGTGGGATAATGATGATAGTAAACATGTGTTTCTATTTGGTGTTGAAGCAATGAACATAAACTAATCTACTTTGTTATTATTAACATATAAGAGCATAAATAGTCTGAATACTGTAGGTAGCCTATCATGAGGGCCCAATATCTGCAAAATTTTCTATGATTCATACATACACAGACTGACAAGGAAAGCAAGACAAAGAGACATACCCTCTAAATGGACACCTTGAACCACCCCCTACTCCTTCCCCATACCCTATTTACAAACCTATTTGACCCGGAAGCAAAGAGCACGCCTTCCGTAGTTACAAGGAACGTGCAGTCTTCGCCAGCCTCGATGCCAGTGACCTTATACTGCGAGGAGTCAGGGACTTGGGGGAGCTCTATTTGGTGTGGCCACAGCTGGGTTTTCCGTGATCCAATTCCCAACCGACCTGGAAGATCGTAATAGTGAAAAAAGTGCTGGCTGCTAATGTATTATTCTGAACACTTAGGGTATACTTCCATAAATAAATTCTTACATGTATACATAATATACTTAACTATAACAATAATAATAACAATGATACTCACCATAATATCAATAACCATATCAAAAATAGCATCACTATCAATATCAATAATAATTATAACAATAATAATAATAATAATAATAATAATAATAATAATAATAATAATAATAATAATAGCAATAACAACAATCATAAAAAATAATAACAATAATAAAAAAAAACATAACCATAATACAAAAACACTGATTAAAACAAAAGAATCAAAATTCATTGACCTGTGTTGACCTACCATTATCCCCACAACCCCAAGAGAACACCTGGTGATCAACAGACAAGGCAACCACATGTGATGACCCACACGCCACCTCCTTCACTGATATGCTCAACAGTGACTCGACAATCCTCAACTGCTCCACGTTGCTGGTGTTCCCATGACCCAGGCTGCCAGATGACCCCTTTCCGCAGGTCAGGAGGATGCCGCGGTCTGTTGTGTGAGGGAGAAAAAAATTTGTCCTGAGAGGATAGTCATTCTGGGTTCAATGAGTTTTTAAAAATGTTATTCTCTAAAAATCATTTAAATATAGGGATACTTACAATCTTAATGCATTTTCCTAAGCTTAGCATCAAACACTCAGATATCATTCTTCAGAAATAAAATACGATTCCCTCATCCACTCACATTTTCTTACAATCGTTGACTATACTGCTATATCATTTCCTTTCAGGTTAACTAGTCATATCTACAGATCAAAATCCTATCTTATGAACACCTGTTCAATTCACTCTTTTATATACAGAACATTTCATGCCTTCTAGATACTAGCTATTTCAAGGTTATTAGATAATGATATTTTTACACTCAGAACATGACAAACCCACTCACTTGTGACGCATGCCATGAAGCCATCCCCACATGCCACCTGCACGATGGTTGCCGAAGAAGGGGCTCTCACCAGCGTGGGGGTTAGGGGGACCACATGGGAAGGGGGGGAATCCTGATTATCAGCTTTTGTCCCTGTTATTGTTGAAGACCATGTGAATGCCTCATCAAATTTTCACATGCAGTTTCATATTTTAGGCTTAGTTTCATATTTCAGATACATATTCAGAAGAACTGGCATATTCTTCATTCATTAATGAATAAACATACATATGTATAATTAGATACATGTGTATGTATGTGTGTGTGTGTATGTGTGTGTATGTGTTATGCATTTACCTTTCCTATCTTTACTTTCCAAATGCTGTCTGGCCCAGAGCACAACCTGTCCTGCACTTGTCACCCCCGCATGGTGGGTGTTGCTTGCTGCCACCTGCAACACCTCCCCTTCGCTCTCCCCGGTGGATAGTCTATGGGGATAAATGGTGGGTTAAGAAGGTACACGAGGGATGAGGATGAGGATGGGGTGGAAAGTGGAAATGAGGAATTTGAATGAAGATTAAGCATTGGTATAAGAATGAGGGTGGAGAGAAAGATATATGGGGAACAGACAGGGGTGGATAAGAGGATATTCAGAGAGGGCAGAGAGTAGGAGAAAGAGATGAAGGATTAGCCCAGTTTGAAGAATGATTGGATTTGGTTTCATTTCATGTATTGCTCTATTTACATTACTTATACATCTCTATTTTTCCTTTTCTTATGTTCAGATGCGGTTTGTCAATTTCCTTTTGTTAAGAAAATAAAGTAGCTTTTTATCTCTATCAATATCCATCAGTCTTTTTTTGTATTCTACCTCACTAGCTGCTCGAATGATCATCAATGCTCACTAGCTCTCATGATCATCAATCAGTTCTTCATTCAGCAACTCCCACTCCTTCCGTTCTTCATCCTTACCTGGAAGGTGTGCCATGGGGAGGCCAGCAGTAGACACATGAAGAAGCTGCCGGTTGTTTTACCACCTCCTTGTCCACACTCCTCGTTTCCTCGCTTACACCCTTCTTCTCACCCTCATTTTTTTCTCTATCAGTGGAGTCCTCACTCCCCCTTGAGGAACGGGTACGTGTGCCCACTGACGACAGGCGGAGGGGTCTAGGGTGCAGAGTTTGGGAAGGAAAGCTGTGTAAGACTTTTTTTCTCTCTTCCTTTTTTCATTTTCAAAATATATATACACCTCCTCTTTTCACCCTATGTCTCACCTCAACAAAAAAGAAAGAAAGAAAGAAAGAAGAAGAAATAGAAGAAAAAGAAGTAGAAGAAGAAGTAGAAAAAACATACCTGGACACACATCGCACCATCCCCAGGTCAGCATGCAGCTTGAACAGTGTGGGGAAGATGAGGGGCTGGCTGATCACTTGGTGAATGTTGGGGCGCTGAGCCGGGTCCATGTGGAGCAGCAGGTGGACCAAGGAGCGCATCTCGGCACTGTAGCGTGGATGGATGGGGGCAAAGATCCCTCGCATGATTTTCATGATCAGGGCTGGTATCGTCTGTAGGAGTAGGTTGGGGCTTGGTTATGGTTATAGCCATTGGTTCAAACTAATGATGAATCAGTTATAGGTGCAGATGTATTCCCTATTTTAAATCTGAAAATGTCTTCTTTTTCTTCTTTTTCTTTCATTTTCAAAAAGTAAAAGATATACTTCAATATATATATATATATATATAACAGAAAAGATAAATCTTAATGATCCAACCAAAAATCTGATCTTACTTCAGCTTCAAAAGCTCTCTTCAAAGTCAGCATTTCATAGAGGACGCAACCGAGAGCCCAAATATCACTCTTCTGGTTATAAGGCTTCTCCTGACACAGCTCTGGGCTCAGGTAACATGGGGTTCCCACAACTGTGTGTGCTTTGCTCTTACTGTACAATGAGAAATTTTGAATGCATGGGTTAATACAACTGTAAATCATGCATCTTAAGGGCAAACCAAAACCACTTGTTTTGTAATTTTATAGTAATAAATTAAGATATTTGTCCGTCTTAATATTCAAGAGCAAGGTTTTACTCTGAGACATCAAAATTGTCCTTTATTGATAAATCTATATACAAATCTATACACCAAAAGTAATGATTACAGGATGATTAAACCAAAACCACTTTTATGATCTCTAGGCATACTGGTTGCATAAAATAATGCTGAAACTGTGACTATTACTAAAACAGTAGCAACAGTAATGTCTAGCAATACCTTTCTATCTCTTATGTTTATTTTGTGGTTAAGAACTATTCCAAATACAGCAAACAGTTTGTAGTAGTCTTCTTAGAGGTTGGAAGTAATAAGTTCTTTTCCTTACAAAAAATAACAAAAGTAGGACAATTCTAAAGCCTAAACTACAGATGGAACTTCCCTATTCTCCTTACAAGTATCTTTTTGGAAATTTATACCAAGAGAAAAGAGAGGCAATGACTAAAAACAATATCACACTCATTCAGTCTCGCCTGCTCCTTCTAACCCTTCAAACCTTCACATCATTTATCCATGACCTATTACTCTACATTCTTGTGCAGACTTTACCTACTCAGGATTTTTGAGATACCAAAGTCACCAATCTTAACAATGCGATGCGATCGGTCCAGCAGAATGTTGTTTGACTTAATGTCTCGATGAAGAATTTTGCTCTCTCTCATGAATATGCAGCATTCCAAGCACCAATTGACAGAAGAGGTTCAACACATCCTAGAAAGTTATACATCATTAATCATAGTTCATTCTCAATGAAAGAAAAATTGTGCACACTTCCTCTACAACAGCATATAAATCTCAAGTAAAAATACTCTCAGATTACAAGTACTTCCTAATTTTCAAAATGACAAGTGTAGCATTCTGATGCAACTTAAATATAAATAAACATTACAATATAGTTTTACACAGCAAAAAAATCTTGCATAATCATAAACTGATAATGCAGCAATATACACTACATACCTCTTCTGGGAGGAGGTTCCCCTCTCCTCTCGAGCGAAGGTAGTCATACAGGTTGCCCCCAGGTGCGTATTCCATGACAATCATAATGGTATTGTTGTCAAGATAGTTGTCATAATATTCAATGATATTTGGATGCTGAAACATTGCCAGCACTCTCACCTCATTCTTTGTCACCTGTTGAAAAGTTGCTTATTGGTTTAAGAGTAAAGAATGGTCATAATTGTTATCAAGAATTATGTGTAGATATAATTTTCAATACTACATATGCATATAATGAAGAATTCATATTCAACAGCATGAGTGATTATCTGTATTATTTGTTCATCCCTTACAGGTGTGTGTGTGTGTGTGTGTGTGTGTGTGTGTGTGTGTGTGTGTGTGTGTGTGTGTGTGTGTGTGTGTGTGTGTGTGTGTGTGTGTGTGTGTGTGTGTGTGTGTGTGTGTGTGTGTGTGTGTGTATGTGTGTGTATGTGTATGTATGTGTTTATGTATGTAATGTATGTATGTATGTGTGTGTGTGTGTGTGTATGTGTATGTGTATGTGTATGTGTATGTATGTGTATGTGTATGTGTATGTGTATGTGTATGTGTATGTAAGTTTATGTGCATGTGCATGTGCATGTGCAATTGCAATTGCAAGTTGCAAGTGCAATGCTGCAAGTGCTAGTGTGTGTGTGCGTGTGTGTGCGTGTGCGTGTGCGCGTGCATGTGTCTGTGGATATGTGTGTAGCCTATGTGTATGTGTGTATGCCTGTGTCAGCATATGTCTGTGTCAGCATATGTTTGTGTTAACATGTCTGTGCCAACATGCTTGTGTCACAATATGTCTGTGTCAAGCTATTTCTATACCCATGTCTATGTCTCTGTGTTTATGTGAATCTGTATATGCATAAGATTGCATTTAAGCTTGAGTATTCTATACATGAAAAAATGTGATAAAATTACCTCACATTCTGCATTTGTGATAGACTCTGTGGGTATCTGCTTAATCACTACATGTTTGTTGTCTGACAGACGACGATATAAGTACACATTTCTGTAATTAAATATCAAAAATCTTAACAATAATTGAAATACCCAGCATGAAGTTTTACTGCTGTCATCGAAAATTTGACTTTGCAATATTGTATTACATTCAACATGTAGACTCCCCAAGATGTTGTGGGACCGTGGAGATGCCCACTGTGAAATCAAGCCCTAGCTTTTACAGGCAGAAATGGGATGAAACCTTTAAATAGTTAAGCATCAAATAGCATTTTTACATATTTTTTTTCATTAAGCTGATATGAAATTATCATTCGGAAAAAAACGTTAGAACTCAGTAATCTATAGATTCTATAAGTATATGTATACTTCTTTTAGCCTGTTGATGATGCTCTCACAAATCATAATACTGCTGAAATAGGCCCTGTAATAGTAAACTAAAAAATAACTATAAATATAATGATCGTTTGCCAATATTTGAAGTCTCTTTTGACACTACCAAACACTGTGTCACTTTATATGAAACCCACCCATAGGCACCCCTGCCAATTGGGTGTAAGATCTCGTAATTGTTCATTTCAGTTGCGGAGAAAATAATAGTAAATCGGCTTTGTTGCTACTGTTGCTGGTTGCGCCCATGACAACAACAATGATAATGTTTACATTCGGCCTGAATTACATTCACAAATGAATTTATTCAAATATCTATTATCTATCGAAAAGATTATCACAAAGAGTAGGTTTTTGTATCATAAGCTATTTTTTCATTAGATGCACATAGATTTGTGTACATATCTTTGGGACAAATGGCAAAAAAGCAATTCTACGAAGCGTCAATGAATTTCAATGACAAGTTCGTGAACAATCAAAAACTCAAAAGTGTGTAGAAAAGGTGATAGAATTATCAATAATATATAACGATAATATTTTGACTTTAAGATGTATTCAAAATTCCCTAGATATAGTAGTTTTTGAAGCAAGAATCACTTTCACTATACTCATTAACGGATTACCCGATTATGTCCCCAGGAAAAATAAATTTATCTTCGTTTTCTAAATATATCCCGAATCCTTTTAAATCAACCATTTTGGGATAAAGCACCCAAAGAATAGTTTTTTTATCCATCAATGAATTCTAAACTTAGTTCCCCTTGCGGCCGCCAGAGGAGCACCGCTGCCGTCTCTCAGCTGTTTCTCCCGAAGTTCCTTTTCCGACGCGAATTTCCGCCCCCCTTCGGCCGCGATGGGCAACGTGGTGGCGCAGGCTATCGGGGATCGAAGCACTACGCCCGATTACAAGGCGGAACCCACTTTCGACCCGCTCTATGGCTTTTCATCGGGCAGGAAAGAGAGAGGTAAGGCCGGTGGTAGTTTTGTTTTCGTCCACCAATTCGCCGTTTCTGAGTCGTTATTTGACCGGCTGTTTGGAAGTGTTTGGGCAGTTTTTTCAATTACAGTATCCAAAAGAATACATAATTTGTGTAGTAGGTGAATCCTAAGACATACCGCCGAATTGACATTCCTTAGAAAAGAGGTCATTGCGATTTGAGTTACGATAAAGTATATTTGGAAATTAGACTAACCCTCTCATCATATTTTGAGTAAATCCAAAATATCCTTCGTAAATGAAACATAACTCTGATATTTGGGTAATATTGGTTGAAATGACACCTAACACCAGAACTGAAGCCTCTGACCTTGCCATCCAATAGAACATGACATTCAAAGACCCTTTTCTTCTTTGGCATTTTCTTCACAAACTAATAAGAAAATGAGAGAAGATGCAAAAGGTAAAATTTCCAGGCACTCCATGACATGTACTCTTCCAGCCCTGAGAGAAAATTATGCAAAATCGAGGAAGCAACAGAATAATTAGACGGAATTGTAGCCGATGATAAAAGGGAGGGAAATCAAGTAAGCCAAGGGAAGTCAGTTGAAATCAAATCAATTCCATCATGGCTCGGCTGTGCGTAAGGTGCTGGAAAAACTAAAGCCTTTCATATGCAATGTGTGATGGCAGTAAAGAAAAAGAGCAGCAGATAGTGGTCACAATTCCCAATCAACAGCAATGATGAGTATTTTGATTTCTCACAGGCTGGCCATTCTGGATTTATTGTTCAAGGTCAGAAGTTACTGGTACAAGATTCAGATATTTGCGCGTGCTGTAGGCTGCCAGAACATACAAAGTGAAGGCTTTGTAGACCAGACAGGGAGGAGAGCAGGCAGCAGTCCCCCAGAAAAGGGTTTAGGGGGCAAAGCACCTAATTGCTACAAATATGCATTGCAATAACTAATAGCAAATTTTACTTCAATCATTTGCTTTTGCCCCACAATTTCCTTGATAGGTATCATACCTTCCCCAGTTATCAGGGCTGATGTCCTAGTGCTAAATTCATTTAAAACACGACTAGAGCTAGTAGAAAAATAGACTTTGCCCAGAAATCAGTGTAAGGTATTATTTCTATATTTACCGTAACTTTTTAGTTTCACGCAGGCATGCAACCTTGCAATTATTATTCTTTGTTTCAGTTATTTCAGTAATATTGTAATTATTTTCCACCACAAATGATGTAAAGGAAAGTGTTGGTAATCGTTTATGAAATTACTATGCCCCTTTGAGGCTTAGTTCCTATTACTCCAGCTATTCCTATTAATCTGTGAATATTGCCTAAAAACTAAAACCTTCTTATTCCAGGGGTTTCACCCCCAGGCTTCACCATATCCCCTATTAACGGCTTTGCCCTAGAACCACATCTGATCATCAAGAACTTTTTCTCCATGCAACATTAGTAGCAACCTATTTTCTTCATTTCTGACATTCTTTCCCTGCTCTGATTATTTCATGGGTAATTCTTTACAGTATGGACACACTCACTAGAGACTGAGTGACCAACTCCACGTCTAAGAATTTATTCATCAATCTAGGTTGCCATGACTGGGGAGGGGAGGGTTGAAGGGTGGCTCTGTCCCCCAACACCCCTTGGGAAATATTATCTTTGCCTCGTATCCACGGCAAGCTGGAGTTGAAACTCTGGAGCAACAAGTGGACATAGACTGGGAGCGGTGCTTTCTGTGACATTTTCCATATATTTGTGGCATTACCGTTAGTGTCTGCAGATTACTTCTCATGCCGACGACTGCAACTTTTTGTCCTATACGAAAATATCATATTCCCTTTGCCCTTCCCAAGCGCATCAATACCATAAAGATTAACTATTTCATGTATCAGTGAGTGATACTGTCTTTATGACAGTATCTTTAGATTTTCTTGTAAATGCATTCCCAAGTATTACATGTTGCATATCTTATTATCAACTTCTGTAAGGAAATTCTTTACATGAAAAGTCTTATTTTTTGTCATTTTATCTTTGTACCTTGTACCATACAGCTTTGTGAAACTGAAATATCGGGTTAATCAGGATGAATTCAGTCTTTTGATATGCAGTTAAGGCAATCTGTGCAGTTTTATAATCATCTGATAAACATCTTTCCGTCTTTGTAAATCATTACTTTATCATTGTAATAACAATGAGGAATTCTTGGCCAGGGAATGTCACAAAAAGTTTGGAAGAAATTCTAAGCACATTATATTACAGCCACACTCTGGTTTCACCATTCAGCTTCCAGTTAGTCACCTCTGAGTCAGGAGTACTAGACAAATTTGTCAGATCTGATTTAGAGGGTATTAAATATTGTTTGATTGAAAGCCAGTAGGAACTTGTATGTCAAATTTGTTCACGTTGGGCTATGGAGGGTTTAGTAAGGCTTCCATTAAGTTTCATTAGTTTTAGAGGCAGCCATGCCCATGTTGTAGTAGCAAGTTCAATTTAGCAAATTTTAAGGGAACTTGCCACTATGTCTGTATTTAATTATTTGAAGACTGGGGAGTTGGCAGTGCACTGATATGTACCTAGTTCTTTCTTGACAGCAAAACTGCATTAGTTAAGAAGCTATTTTTCCCTGAGTATATGCAGTTTTCCTACACCAGAGTCCATGGCAAGTACTTTAGTCACCATGGATATCATATATCTTCAATGGGTGATTGAGTGCTTACATTCAAAGTGATCTTTGAACCAAGGACTACATTCACCTGAGACAATTTCTCTAGTTCTGACTGGGTACAAAATAACTCCTGCACCTCCAGCTTTAGTATTATGCACTTTTAATTCACCAATCCCTCTGAAATATCAAAATGTCCACAGTTATGCCTCATTATATGTCAAAAACGCATTGACGGGCATGGTTAGGCCAAAGGGAGGAAAACGTTTTATAAAGCCCAGCATTTGGAGTGAAAGGCTTTTGTGTGCAAGCAGTTTCTACATTTGTGTTCCTATGTTCTTTTTATCCATTGTGTTGATAATACACCTTACTTTATGGAAATTACCTGTATTCTGTAATTTGAGTTATGAAATAGGCCAAAAAAAATGACATTGCCATACATAAATTTCATTGATGGTCGTAAGCTCTCAGACATGGATTTGCAAACAAATCCATCAGCAGCTAATGTCTGGAACGTTTGTAAAACTTTCTTATAGATTCTCACATCATAGGATTACCCCCATCCCCCCAGGTTGTAATTGAGGTTGTTATTTTCAGTGATGGTGGCAACACCAGAGGAAATGGAGTCAGCCAAGTTGCCCTTGAAAGACAGGGATTACTGTGCTCACAAAGCCATTGCGTACCAAGCCTGCCGCCAGAAGGTGTGGCCATTTGTGTACCAGTGCGCCCATGAAAAACATGACTACCTCAATTGTCAATATGACGAGTAAGTACTTAAAATGTCTAGGACTTACTTTCTACTTGCCATTTACTGTTTTTTCTTGGCATCTTCTGATTAGTACTCATAAGAACTATATCTTCCTTGCTCTGCTAAATGAGTCAATGTTGACAGCTCTTACTAAAATTGAGATACTTTTAATTATTTTATGGCTTTATGAAAATAATGAAAGAACTTGGTTTTAGCTTCAATAAGAGGTCCTTTTGTATGTTATGAACTATTTTCCAATATGAACTTACATATCCTGTTCAAAACAATACAGTTGTGAACCACCACATTTTGTTATAAATAGGTAGTAAACAGTTGGTTGGTAAGACCTCATAAGCAGAATCCGGGGCCTATGAAGACTTGTTTGATTTGATTTAATTATAAAAGTGAATAAAACAATTGTGACTAGGGGTGTTGCTAAAATTAGGCTATGATCTCAAAGCCATCTTAATTGTAGTGAAAGGCTGTGATATGAAAGGACATTGAAATCTGATATTAATAAGGAAAAGCCTTTGTAATGACAGTAAATGATTTCTTTAATATCTCTCCATCATTACAGTTACATACTCAGAATGAAGGAGCACGAGAGAGAGCGCCGGCTGCTGGAGCGTGCCAAGAGGAAAGCTGCAAAGGCTGCGCGGGAAGAAGAGGAGTAATAAATATCTATTTGGCATCCTACACCTTTCATTTCACTCCAATAGGGAGAGACATGTTGGGGGTTGGACTTCTATAAAGCCTTTTCATACTGCCCATTTCTTATCAAAACGATCAGATAAAAGATTGTAGTTTCACAAGCAGGGAAACTTCCAGTCCACGTCATATTTATCGACAGGAGTGTCAATACCTCTGCGTTTTGTGGCAGAGGCTTCAGATTTATACCACTAAATTGAACTTTTAAAAAAAATTATTATTCTATCTCTGTTATTTGGACTTATTATGTTGTTGCCAACTTGTACTGTTCACTAAGTCTTATGGTATTTATTTTTTTCCCCATACTAGAAGAGGTTCGGTACTATACATTCTTGTATATAGGTTTATAAGAATTCAGAATAATAAATGTATATAGTTTACCCACCTGTCTCATTCAGCAAACTACCTGGCAGATGAATTGGTAAAAGTTTATTACGCAGAGGACAATTCTTTATGGAGATCAAAATGAAGTTACTAAAACCATGAGGTGACTTAAAATCTATAACAGACTTATGGCATTTACATTAAACACTTAAAAGGATCCACCCCCCTCCCCACACACACGCACACACACCCATGGATGTTGTTGTTGGGTTAGGAGATGGAGACTGGGTATGGTTATTGGTGTTGGGTATCTACCCAACCATGTGCCTCAGCTCAACAAATTGTCTTATCATCTCTCTCCTTTGTTAAGATAATAGGCTGGCATTGGGTGTCCTGAACAGCCTTAAAGAGCCAGGGGCACACTATTCCTGTTTAGTTATCTAGCTCGTACTCCTCATGAGGACCTTGAGGGATGAAGCATAGCTCAGGCAGGAATGTAGCACAGATGTGAATATGATCACAATATATTTACACAAGCAACTGATAATGCAAAAAATCTTTTTGAGTACCAACAATGATGATGATGATAATAGTATATTGCTCCAGGAAGATATTAAAATTGAATTCGTTTTTAATTTCTTTCATTTACTTCAGTTTTCCCACTATCAATTATTTGCTAAAGGTAAAATTCTATGAAATATCACTGAGATATGTTTTATATCCTTAAAGTATAATACAGGATTCAAATTCAGATTAATTTTAGATGTGATGATCTTATTGCTGTATCTCCTTTACTGTAAATTACATCCAATATGTTAGCGCATTATTCTTCACAACATGAAATTATATAGTCTTTAGGGAAGTAATACAACCTGTACTTTACAAAAAAAAAGTTTATTTACATAATACCCTAAGTTGTCTACAAAAATACTATACATTCCCCTAATGAATTAACTTAAGAAACAGGATATATGAAAGCACTTCCTTTGAGCTGCAAAAGAACTCACAATGACAAGATCCAGGCATTTTAAGCTGCTTTTAAACTTGAAGATTAATTTCTCCCAATGTTGATTTCTGTGACTAGATCAGTTGCTCTTTGTGGATTTCATATATCTATCATCACTAAGGCTTTTTTTTTTTTTTTTTTGCTAACCTGCTTTCAAATTCAGTCTAAATATTTGTACCATAGATCAATATTTTTTCAGGATAGAACAAGACCTCGTTTACCTGAACTTTTTTGACACATTATGTGGCTAAAGAACTATGCGAGATCATTGGTCAAGAGAAAATGGAAAATCAGACGACCAATTTCAAAACACATCCATGTTATTTTGACTGGCAGTGAACATCATTGTGCTAAAAACATCGGAAATGCATCTATTTTGTGTTCCACGTATATCTTGTCAATTTGTTACCAAAACATATTAGAACAGTAGCTTATCTGTTGTTGGGAGAAAGGGCAAACTTTTTTGTACACAAGGCTTTTGGACCACTACTTAAATTTGAATTTGTAGCTTCTTTATTGTAACTAACAAATCCTCCTTGTAAAAAATGCTTTCTCTGTTTCCATACAAAAAAATATAGAACTAAGAAAAAAAAAATCACATCTAGACAAAACAATATATTCTACCCTCATATAACTTACAAACAAAACTAAGTAATTCTGTAAGATTTACCACAACTTGAATTTTATATAGATGCTAATCATATCAAACCATACACATATATTTTACTGTACATTTCACTCTCATGTTCACATTTTCAATATGTCCATAAAATGTGATTGTTCAAATGACTACATTTTCAAGGTGATGCCAAAGACACTTAAATTTATTTCGTTACAATTATACATGTTTACCACTTTGATAATGTATTTATCTTTCTTTGAAATCTTATAATAGGCAAGTTTAATTCAGACAGATATACAGTAAACTGCAAGATTAATTAAACATTTTATGAAAATGGCCAATGAGGTCAGTTCAATCTTAATGCAGAACACTGAACCGCCAAAATGTCACACAGTTCTATTCTCAAAAAAGCTGATGCTATAACTTTAGGACTCTTTACATTCTGAATACACCAAAGTCCGTTTTGGGGATGGGAGCATTCAGAGAGGCAGACAAGGACAGGCCTAGAACGTGTCTTGTTTCCACAGGGTCGATCACTCCATCATCCCAGAGACTGAAAAGAATTTCCAAGAAAATCATATAATAATTATTCAAAAAAAAAAAAAAAAAAACAAACAAAAAATATGAATTGCAAATTACAATAGATTATCCACAATAAATGAGTTAATGCATGATCACCACCAATTTCATGTGTGGAGTGGAATTAATATTAAGTAATATCCACAGGAGCACTTTAAACATTTCTACAAAAAAGGAAATAAAAACTAGCATTTGAAAAAAAAGATATAGAAAAAGAAAAAAAAGAGAAAAAAATCCCACTGTAAGAACAAGAAAGAGTATATTTCACCTTTTCAAATTTAAAAAACAAGAAAGCATGTCAAAAATTATATTTAATCTTTCTCAAAGAAAAATGAAAAAAAAAAAAAAAATTACATATAAATTGTTTTCAGTATATGTTTTTACCTACGATAAAAAGAAAAATGACACTGCACAAAATATACAAAGTAATAAAATAATAATAAAAATTACCACCTACCGAGCACTGGAAAAGTATGGAGATCCCTCAGCCTCAAAGCGTTTGATAATGGGGGCCTTGAGTGCAAGCTCCTCTTGCTCAGTCCACTATAATCAAATAAAAGTGGATTTAATTAACAACAAAAAGCCTTTGACAGCAATAAAGCATTCTTTTTAACTGTTAACTACTATCATCTTATAGACTTTTTTTCACCAATATTAGATTGTACAGCATGCAGGATGCTAACAATAGCAAGTAAAATGTGTAAATGGAGTTCTGTAATACAGAACAAAATACATCCCTCAGTTCTAAATTTTGTGTGTGTGTGTGTGATAGAGAAGTTCTCCATGTTTACTTCCCTATTCATACATTCCATCCATATCGTATGCAAGTCTCATGCATTTCTTTATGAAACGTTTCTTAATTATTTGATCATTTCTTTTTCTGTCTCAGGAGAGGAACCCATGTATCTAATAGGAATCCCTAAAACTCACAATACATTCCAAGGTATCTTTTCCCATATATAACCGATAAATACACTTCATAAACAAGCAACAAATCTTTCCCAAAAAAATACCTAAAATATGAATAGCAACTTAAACATCTGCACCAAAGACATACCTCTTTCCCCTCACGACGTCGCTGTTCCCTCGTGATCTGTGCCAACACACCTGCCGCTTGCTCTCCCCCCATCACACTGATGCGGCTGTTGGGCCACATGTACATAAACCGTGGTCTGTGGAGCAGAGAGAATACTTGTTTAATATCTTCTATCATTATCATTAAAGTATTCTTTTTACGATATTTGAGTGTCTAATATCCAAATCAAACATTAAAAATATGCATGCTTATAAACAACACTATCATGAATTTATTTTGTGATCAACCAAATGAGAAAATAAAGAAGCCATATTTGTGTGAACTTGAAAAATATATAAGCAGTGCTACGTGTTCAAAAAAGCTTATCCCAAAATATAACGAGATTCACCCTAAAGAAAACAGGAGAAATAACAGATAGAAGATTAAACTTACCCATAGGCTCTGCCGCACATGCCATAGCCCCATATGAACCCCCAACGACGACTGTGAACTTGGGGACCTTTGCGCAGGCCACAGCTGTGACCATCTTGGCTCCATTTTTAGCGATGCCACCAGCCTCCGCATCTCGGCCAACCATGAAGCCTTGACAATGTATATAAGGCAGTATGAGGAATTTATATGACATAATAGCATGCACACAATCAAATTGGCACAGTGAAAAACATGCAACATAAAAAGGGTTGATCTTTGCTGAATAATCATTAAAAGAAAAATCTGAGAAAAGAATTATGGCCTAAAAGCTGAACACTAAAACATTCAACCCAACTGGATTTTATTATGCATATGAATAAGGAATGAAAATATACAATATACCTAAATACATGAGGTATCCAGAGTAAAATTTCTAAAGGAAAACCTCTTTTAGAAATCCTATTCCCACCAAACTAGCATACCAGTAATGTTTTGCAAGAAGATCAGGGGTATTTTTCTCTGGCAGCAAAGTTCAATGAAGTGAGTGCCCTTCACCGCAGACTCGGAGAATAGGACACCATTATTGCCGATGATGCCTACAGGATACCCATACAAGCGAGCAAAACCACAGATAAGCGTGTCACCATAGCGAGCCTGGAATGAAAGGAGTAAATAATCATATAAATAAACAAAAATCAGAAAAAGAAATATTATCACTATAATACAACAAAACACAAAAACAACAAATATAAATATCTAAATAACAGCAAAACCACGAGTTCAGCTCTAATAACCTCACCTTAAACTCATCAAACTCCGATCCATCCACTACACGTGCAATAACCTCCCTGACATCGTAGGTCTTCTTGAGGTTGTCACCCACAATACCATAAAGGTCAATGGGGTCGAAGATCGGCTCCTTCACATCACGCAAAGATACCTGAAAGAAGGATTCAGCACTTTTGTCAATAACTAGGTGACAAAGAGTGGAAGGTTTACTTGAAAAAAGTAAACATGAAAGACAAGCATTTCATAAATCTTAGTTAATCAATTAGGTTTTTCTTTTAAAAATCAATAAAATAAAATAATTCTAGATATCTTTGAATTCACATGAAGTCATCATTAAATGCTCTGAAAGCCAAGCCAGGCCTATTCTTGGGAGCAATCTAAATTTTTCTTCATATTGTATAAAAGCTTGTATTGTATTCTATTAATACTCCTATATGTAACAGAAGACTGGATTTTTCTATATATATATAGCAGTTTTATTCCTAAGAAAAAATACACAAAAGAAATTAAATCCAAAAGAAATATTCTACTTGAATTTTTCAAAGAATTTTTTTTTTTTATAAAACCTAAGAACCAAAGCTGTATCCCACCTGAGGTATTTTGTTGCGGTTAAGAGTCCTCACAACCCGCCTCGCCAAATGCAGGGCGTGCGTGTCATCTAAGGCATAGTGATCTGTCACCCCTGATTTCCTGGAGGGTAAAGTGCATAAATGAATTATCATATTTGGCAAACTACATGACTACCTTAAACAACCACTAAAAGGTATATTAAGCTAGGAGATTCTTAGTTTCTCACAACTCCAGTAAATATATTATAACATATGGAGCATATATATTCCAGAGACACGCATTCCTTGCCCCCTTGACGCACCCACAGTGGAGATCCGCTCCTCCAAGGTCCTCAGCTGAAATCTCCTCTCCTGTGGCTGCTTTGACGAGAGGAGGACCCCCTAAGAATATGGTTCCCTGCCGACGCACGATGATCGACTCATCAGCCATTGCAGGCACGTAGGCTCCTCCTGCTGTGCAAGACCCGAGAACAACAGCAATCTGTAATTGGGGCATAAAGCTATAGAATGAATAATGCTAACTTCAATTTATGCACCAAAATGCTGTACTGACAATATTTTGCTTTTTGTATTCTTTGTATCTATAATGTCAAATTCTTAATTCAGAGTTATAAGACAGAGTTATGGAGCTATGAAAAATTCCACTTTGCCATTTGGCATTTAAATTACAAATGCCTTTGTATTGCTGAGGTAATTAACTTCCATTTTTTTTTGTCGATATCTTCTTTTTTCATTTCCCGACTTAAAGGATCCCAAAATAAATATATGTATTAAGATTTCATCATGACCTCATATTCAATGTCAAGAATAATTTAATTATGTAACCACCAAACCCTTAAAAAATCCATCCAAATCATCAATTCATCAACATAAAAACATTTAAGACCTATGCAAAAACTGCACAAGAAAGAAAAGACTTCAAGAAACCTCTCAAAGTAGCAATCAAACTAACCTGTGCAATCCCCTTGGAAGACATGTTGGCCTGGTTGAAGAAGATCTTGCCGAAGTGGTCACGGTCAGGGAAGACATCCGCTTGCCGAGGGAGGTTTGCACCGCCAGAGTCCACCAGGTAGACGCAGGGCAGGTTGTTCTCCTGTGCGATCTCCTGGGCTCGTAGGTGCTTCTTGACTGTGATGGGATAGTAGCTTCCTCCCTTCACTGTGGCATCATTGCCCACAATCATGCACTCAACCCTGAGAAAGAGGCGAGGGGTAGAGAAGGCTTTTAATAATACAATATACTTAATGGCTATAATTTAAAAGAAAAAATAGAAAAAGACTTAACAAGCACAACAGTGAAAAGGAGTGAATGCTATAAAAGAAAAGTTATGAAGAGAAAAGTAACTTTTCTTATTCATGTTAATAAATTGCATATATCTGGGATTGGAGTGAGAAAAAATATATATATAATTTTCAAGTGTTCTTTCATAAAAAAAATCTAGTCCCATAAAGTCACACAGCACATATGAAAAATGGCTACACATACTGGTATACTAATCATTACAATAACACCTCCCTCCCAACCCTAGACTCACCCTGAGACTTTGCCGATACCAGTAATGATGCCTCCAGCCGGCACCTCCTCTTTGCCATACAACTGATATCCAGCTAACTGTGACAGCTCCAGAAATGGGGTCCCAGGGTCGATCAAGTTGCCGATCCTCTCTCGCGATCCTGAGGTCATGATATAAGTAAGAATGGTAGGAGCACATAAGAGATACGAATATAAATAATCATATAAATACATATAGATAGATAGATAGATAGATCAATAGACAGACAGACAAATCGATCGATCAATAGATAGATAGACAGACAGAAAGACAGATTGATATAGATATAAAGTAAACTATGAAAAAAAAATTACTTAGAATATCTACAGCTCCACACACATATACACATGCAATGGTATTCAGACATTCTACAATCTTCCTTTCCACAATGGCTCACCTTTGCTCTTGTGCCTCTGGATGGCCTTTTCTCCGCCACCAAGCGAAATGTGGTGGACACGTCCCCGGAGTTCGTCCACCAGAGCTGCCATTCGGGCCTCATTTTCCTAAAGGTTACAAGGTCTCTCATCAGAATTCCAACTACATATCACATCTTATTTTGGGAAATGATATTGTATTCAGTGTCATGCTGGTGCCTAATTCATGGTCTGTTAACCAACTTGATGAAAATAAAAAGAAACAATAGCCCAAAGTGCAGTCATCAACACTAATCTAAGATACATTCATAAACTATTCAAACCAATTTGATATAGTCCATAAAAACTGACAATTAATAAAAATAATAATAATTCATGCATAAAAATCATACATAGTAATTAATGGACACATCAATTTGAGCAAAGGAATGATTTGGAAATAAAGCTATCTAATTGAATGCATTTATTTCCAAGTACACAACATCCAATAAAAGTATAAAAGTCTAAGTAGAATATTATGGATATAAAAAATATATACACACATACAAGTACAACACACTGAAATTTCTGGAACTACAGTATAGATATAATAACTTCAAAAGGACAAAATTAAATGTCACTCTTCTTGCGAGATCTTGCAGCTAGGCATTAACACAAACTGGGTTATTGGGTATCAGAACAAGGTGAGACTCCCAATACCATAATAAGTATCCTGGATTCACATCACTCTAGGCCACTCCCTCCCCATGCATCCACATCCATCCCCTAATTATGAGGTGTCAATAAATAAATAGAAATCTCTTTCTTTACCATTCTAATATCTTTTTGAGGGTTAAACCTAGATGTTTTGAATATATTTTCATCTTTGTATTGCCCAGCTATCTCTAGCCCATCTGCAAGGGGCTAATTGATGGCTGGATATGTTTAGCCCATTGGATACTCCACTATCATCACATGGTCCAAAATATGGGCATAAGGCTTGCATGAGTGCCGCTCTGCCAGGTGTATAGCTTGTAGGCTGGGTGCACACGAACACTCGTGTACATTGACAAGACTCTTTACCTACCCTTAGTAATGTTTTTTTCTCTTTTTATCCATAATCATTTAAATTTTTTTTGACATTTAAAAGTTTTTTGTCATCTAATTTCCTTTATCCAGATTGTAAAAAACTGTTTCCCTTGCATATCATCTCTCTAGGTACTCCATAACTGAGTGCAAGGATAAAAACAATATGAAACATTTTGTAACATTTTGATTTTTTTTGTAATATTCAATTTTCTGTAATATAACCTATGTTGCAATAAGTTCCTGAGCATGAAAATAGTGTCCTCCCTACAGCTGGCACTCTTCCATTCATGGCTCACTGACAGTATATTCCCCTTCCTTAAAATAAGAGGAAGCTTTGTGCATTTATGACAAGTCATTCCCCTTACCCTGCCAAATCTTCTCATGACAGTGTGCTCACATCACTGCCCCTCAAATCAAATCTTTTCATGATGTGATGGTCATGTCACCTGGATCATTGGGGTTGATATGCATGCAAAAAAAATCGTATCAATATCAATGGTGACTGATATTTCATTGACATTACTATTAACACATCATAACTGGATAGAATAGGAAAATATTAATATGGATGTTGTAAATAGCTAGCTGAGAAACAGGTTTTAGTATACATTTCTAAAATCACGGCCGGCTGCCGGTCAAACTACATCCACAATGCTGATGAAAATCTAGTCAACGTAATTTATACTATACTTAAAAATAGGTGTCACTTGAAGTAAATCATAATAAATAAGTCATTCAAATGTCTGTAATACAATTCATCTCTGATAATAACGTCTCTTTGATTAAATAAGCGTTTTACCAACCTACGGTGCCCGAGGGGCATTCCAGACGACAAAAACGCAAAACTATTTCTATTTCCAGCGAAGAAATAACTAATAAAGCATGAATACAACTCAACATAAACAAAAATAAACACGCCTGGTAATTGTCACTGCATAAAATGACAAACCATAAACATACACAGGAAAAAAGTTAAAAAATACAGGAAAAAATACCCTATCTCGACCGCTTGAACGTCGGCTGCTGATAAAACTCGCCCCGAAAAATAACCACAAATAACAACCCACCTTAAATTCCGACGACGACCTGTCTGGTTCCGAACCGACGATGCTCGCTGTGTCATTGTGGTAATCTCTCTGTCCCTTGTAACAGCGACTGAGACTCGGATAAAAACGACAAAATCGTCTACTCAACATCTTTTCGGGACTCAGTCGGTTCCTCTGCTGGACGGCGCT